CAAAATCCGTTTTAAACATGTCAAAGACTACCTAAAATCATCATGACAGCTCTCTCGCGTCAGGTTAACCACTAGACTAGAAGAGGATTCGCATCAGAGACAAGTTAATCCGTACAGAAATTAGCTTCACAAAAAAAATATGCTTCAGTTCACATTGCCACTCCCAGAAAGAGGAAAGCTATGGAGATGGTTGTTAATTTAATCAGAAGATAAAAGAAGTAAAGAATTCGGATGATATATGAAATTTAATAGTAAAAAATATTCCTTCTAATTGAAAAACATAAATAGAGCAAATAAAAACGACAATAGCTTAACTGTCGCGAGCCTAAAACGTGCCAGACTAGATCTACGCAAGACAAAGACGTGACGAAGATTTTCTCCATGATTTTCCAATAATTTCAAATACAGCTATAATTGGGGTGGAGTGACTGTTAACAGCCATAGACTTTTTTTAAGCAAATTTGACAAAAATCATAAATGGCAAAAAAAAAAATTTAATTAGGCTTAACTTGCTGCCAGCTACTAGTCATGAATCACACGAAAGACTGACAGTGACATCAACTTTTTTTTTTAAATTTTTTTTTTAATTTTCAAGTTGGATAAGTTTCGAAGTGTGACCAAGTGTCCAAACTTTGGCTAAAAGCTTTCACTTCGTTGGACTGTCATTTTCCCTATTTTGGCCTTTAGGTTGGTGGCATGTTGATTTTCTAAGCTTATTTTTCAGGTCAAAAAATGTGCATACATTCTCTCCTAACCATATGCCCATGTCCTAATACTATTAATTAACTCTCTAATAGAAGACATTATCCCTTTCTTCCACCTTTTCTTTCTTAATTTTGTTGTTTAAAGTAAAACATGACTTACCTAATTATTAATCCTAGTCTACATTGAGTTCCTAACTGAACTTACTGCTTACGTGTTTACCGAGATATAAGTCAATTCAAAAGATATAATATTTTAAAAGATTTAAATGAATTTTTATTATTTTATTCTATTTAATAAAATATTTATATTTTTATCTTAAATCAAATAAAATTTTATAATTAATAGTTGATTTATTGTAATTCATATCACATAAAATGATAAATAAAATTTTAATTAATAACAATTAATCAACGTTAATTATAAGAGTTTATTGATTTAAAATAAAAGTATAAAGATTTTACAATAAAAAAATAAAAATATATTTAAATTTTCATAAGTAATTTAAGAATCTTTTTAAATATTATATCTTATCTTAATGAATTTTTTGTTGAAAATTTATAAGTTACCAAAGAAAATTGTATAAAAAGTGCACTACGTTAATAAGTATCAATTCAATTTAAGTTTTAATGACATACAATCATCGTTTTAAATGATAAAATAACTCAAAGAAAATGTAACAGATCAATCTCTTTAATCAATCAACACAAAAGTCTTTATATTAAAGCCTAGAGATCCAGAAGGTCCTAAAAAAGGACAATTTAATGTCAAGATTTTAAGGCAGAATCATAGAAACCTTGAACGTGTATATCAATAAAATAAAAATCTAGCAATATTTTTAAAACGTGCACCCCATCAGCCGCCCAAAATAAACCGTATTTCTCCTATTTAAAAACTTCACACAAAACCTCAAATTTATTTATTTATTTATTTTTGTTTTGCTCGGTGACTTGATTACCTAGTCTCTATTTTATTTATTTTTGCTGGAATCCATGCTTTAGATATTGTTATGTATATACTAATAAAATACAGCATTGTCGGTAGTGGAAACAAAACCAAATTGAAGGGATTAAACGACTTTGCAAAGAGTAACGAATTACACTGTACAATTAAAAGGAGGACAAATTAAAAAACAATGAATAAAACAACAAACTCTATATCATACGGCTGAATAATTTGTTGTTAGCGGCGGCTAACTATTTTGGCAGGGCATGACAATTATGTGCATCCAATCAATATGAAAGGAAATAGGATCAATACCCATTAATGAATAACGTTTCAACATTTTTTTTTATGATAATTAATTTGATGTATTTTTCTTTGGTTGTACTTGGAAAAATGTTCTCTTCAGGCACGTTCTAGGAAAAACAGTAGCCATGGGATTCGAATTGAATAAATAAACTTTCTCTAATCCCGACCAAAATGTTGTTTAGGTTAGTGATTTTAGAGCATAATTAGGTTACATATAATACTAAATTTTGCGATTGATGACTCTTTAAATTTCAATCAAACTAATTGATTGAACTCGAATTCCCTCTTTTCAATCGAAAAAATAAATAAATAAATAAAATAAAAATATGATGGGATGAAACGAAATTATTAAGTGTCATTAATCAAGGGCAAAATTCGTACCGAATATCACTGCCATGCATGTGAGTAGTCGTGGGGGACAATGCTTAATTGATTTGATGCTGATATGTAGTCAATAATATTACTTTGAATTATTAGTGTTTAATGATTGTTTTAATTAAACGTTAATTCATCGAGGAAGCAATAAACATGGAGGGTCACATATTTTTGTCCTGTTTCTTTTACGAGAAAATTTTTGCTGTTCTATTAGAAGCACATGATTTTAAATACTTGTATGGAACAAATGGGAAGACCCAAAACAACTTCTTCCATGTTCGCATGTGCATCAATAAATCAAAGATGTTGAACCTTAATAGTTAATAGACCAATCAAAGATACATCAAAGACTAAAAACAGTTGGTAAGATTAATCAAAGGCCAAAGTCAACAATTGTTCCTATTGACAAATAACTCTCTTTGCATGTAAGCCAATGATTTCTACTTAAATACAGGTCACGTATACATAGAAAATTATGCACTGGAGAGAATCTCTTTATCATCAAGTTAATCTCCACCGTACACCAGTCGAGCTAAGCCTGAGGATTAATAATTGTGCAGCTTCTTTGACTTCTGGAAGCTCATGATAAATAAAAACAAAAATCATTCCAGAGCATAGAAGCTGCCAGAAGATGATTCACACAGGGGCCGGTCACTTTGTAAAGTGTGCAAATGGTATGTCATGATGGAATAAAAACCCCAAAATTGCTTAAAACAAGATGTGCAGAAAGGGCTAGAACTGATTCATGATATCTAAAGATTTGATATATTTTGCAGAAAGGAAAGAAAGAAGGGGGAAGAAGAACCCGACAGGGTTAGGTGAGGATGACTTGAGTGTTTAGTTATACAAGCTGTGCCAAGTAGCCACCTAAAATTGAAATGTTAGTAAGGAGAACTTAGATGTAAGTGGTCCTTTGATGACTTCAACATGAATAGTTACTAAATTTTGTGGTCTTTCTTTATATTTGCCCCTTGGTTAATCCATGAACCCTACATTATAAGCATTTGAAAAGGACAAGTTTTCCACCATTTTAATTCCTCTATTCTACTGTTTTTTTTTCTTCTTGTTTACTGTCTTCCACTAACCTAGCCTGTATGCCTTGTCTGATCTTTTTAATCCTTCTTCCAAAGGCAATCATAACAAAAAGTAGAAGCAAAATTATATTAGATAATGTTTCCATATTCCTTTACCCTTTGGCCCCAACAACTCAACTTTACCTTTAACACACTCTAAACTAGACTTTTCAATGGTGTTACTTTACACGGCATTGACTGTATTATAGAAAAACAGGGGAGATATGATCTTAGGATATGAAAAAAATGGCTTGATTTGCTTCTCTCTCTTTTTTTCTTTTATTTGTTCTCGACAATGGGGGATTTTATTTATGAATGACATGACTGACTTGATCTAGATTTGTGTCCTAACCACATTACTTTAAAAAAAAATTAGGCTTAATTACTGTCGCTGAGCTTTAATTGTACAATTTCTTCATTATCATATATTCATATTGAGCACAATCTGACAGCTAATTTATGCAACAATTAAATCTAGTTGAGAGCACCCTGAGAAGTTGACTTTCAGGCCAATGAGGCCTGCATTTTTCACAATCAAGATAGAGATTAAGAAAAAAATATTGGAGATATATGGAGTATTACATATATGCTTTGTCTCAAAATACAAGAAATCAATCAATCTATCTATCAAAAATGGCTTTGAATTTGTCAAAATACTGATCTAAATGACACAAAACACAAAACCCAGAATAAATTTATGGAAGTGAAGTAAATTTGGACAGGTTTTTAGGGGTGGTCCAAAGAGAGGAAGTAGCTAATTATAGGACAGTGGGGACAAGGCTGCTCATATTCTAAGAAACTTGAATTATTATTTCTTGCACGAAAATGAAATTCAACTCAACGTAAAGTAGTAGTACTATTTCTTTTTTTTTTCTCTCTCTCTCTCTTTTAACAACTTTTTTTTTTGTTTCTCTTTTGTGTGTAGCTCAAATTTCCTCCCAAAAGCCGCAGGGCCACTTGATTCAATTTCACATGCCCCTGCCTCATGCTTGAGAAATCAAATGGAATATGAGAAACCTATAGAAAAATTTAAAGCCTTCCAATTAGTGAATGGAGGGTGGGTATAGACGTGCAATTGTTTGCCATAAACGTGCATCTTATGATGAATAAAAAAATTTAGCCAGAAATTGCACCGAAACCAGAAAAAAATGCTAGATAATAACAGAACAGATGGCCTGAATAATAGCTCTTTTGTAATTTGCTTGCATGGTAATATGAGCTGTCTGTCTTCTGGCATAGATCCCTATATTCTCCTTGGGATTTATACAGTTTTGGCGTTTTAGACATTTTTGTGAACTGAGATTTGGTGACTTTTCTAACATCATTGTTGAAATTTGGAATTCGTCTGAGGGTAAAAACCGAAAAGGGAATATTGGAAGCTGTCCACGTGCATGAAGGTAGGATTAACCGTCGGATAATGAAGAAATAGACATGATCAAAAGGGTAGGAATGTGCCACGATTTACCTCAGTAAATTCGTGTTCGAGTCAGTATGGAA